GCCACTGAGGTACTATGGGCCACTATAGTGGCCCTCCATAAGATGCATTATATTGCATAATGTTTTATTTCCTCTCATACTGTAACTTAAAGAGCGCATGCTAAGACGTTATAAATACCCTGGAATACCCTTTATTTACAAATATCCTTTGGAGAAAAATTTTTTCGTTCGAGAACATTCAAGCAGCTCGGGTTCTCCGCCGACCGCGGAGTACCGACTTCAGCTGACGATCGGCGTCGCGTAGCGTGCAGTGATGTCGCAGCGCTCCGTTCAGCGGAAGTGCCGCGGCGAAGAACCCGCGTGTAGCGAAAGGGTTAACCGTTCGAGTCCCAAGCAGCGCGATCGTGCTGTTGAGATTTTATGTCGAAAAAACCTAGCACATTTCGAACATTGTGGACAACCGACGGTGCGTTACCGATTGTCGAATTGCGCGCTCAGATTTACCGAAGCAAGTACATCGCGCAGCTCCTTTTAATGTAAATAGCACATTTTACAATAGGTAGAATAATACTATAATAATGCAATAATACGTTACAAAATAAAAATGTTTAATTCATTGTTATCGCGCCGCTTGGTATGTATTTCTCGACATAAAATAAAACAAGCGCTATCGCGCTGCTTGGGTCTTTTCGTACTCGTTTAGAGAAAGCGCGGTTGCGCTGTTTGGGATTCTTCGACAGTGTTTTTTCAATGCCCCCCGGGACTCAAACGATTAAATTTGACGAAGTTCAGAATCCTGTAATATTGTCGCGAATGATCGTGTCGCGACGAGTCTTGGCCCATTTCAAAAGGCCGAGCTTCTATTTTAGTGGCGTGCTGGTTACTTCGATCCAAAGTATGTGTCACACGCAGCGCGATACTTTTTTTTAACATAGGCACCCGACTCTAGGTGTTTTTTGGTTCCTTGGAGAACTCTGCAGAGCTGAACAATTTCTTTTTTTAGCCGACCAGAAACATCGCCGTTCGACTGCATTTCGTCCTCCCCTTTCCAACGAATGCGAAACAATCGCTGTAGGACTTTCTGGAGCTTTCTGGACTTCATGAAAAGAGGGCTTGCGGCAGCTGAATTCGAAACCTGCGGTGCCAAAGCAATTCTGTTTGTTTTATTTCATGAAAGGTATATAAGTATACAAGATAGTTAAGCAAGGGAGAAACGTGCAAGGTATTTAACAAGAATGAAGCATACAAGGTATCGCAGACTTAGGATGCGTGAAAGATTGCAACAGAGGAATCAAATTTCTCTGTTACAATCTTAAGTAGTTCGCTAGCTGATACATTCCACCTTTTCTGAATCCTCCATGTTTATTTCTTGTTGTAAACACAGAAGCTTTCGCCGTGAGATACAATATGAAACGAATCATCGGTTCCTGATTGTTTAAAAATAGCGCCATTTGTGACAAGTGGCGCTCCTTGCGGTGAAATTTTGAAGCTCGCTTTAGGGGTCGGTATAACGCCAATTACTGTAGTGGTAAAATGCTCGAAATGCTAACCAAATTACCGACAGTCGATTTGGCTAACTATAGCCAAATCGACTGTCGGTAATTTGGCTAGGAGTTTCAGCGTTTTGCCACTATATTAATTGGCGCTATAAGAACCCCGAAGGGAGCTTAGAAATTCTGCCACAGGATGGAGTCACTTGTCTCAAATGGCGCTATTTTTAAATTTTCAATAAAGCATTTTTAAATAACGCGTTTCATGATTTAAAAGTCACAAATTTATTGGGCGCACATATTCGAACGTTAAAAATGGTATTTATAAGTCCCAAGTTTTTTAATTCTGAATTCCAGAAAATATCAAATTTCTTATGAAACATTTGTGCGATTGAAGATAATAGACATGGGTACAGGTACAATATATACTTTATTTCTCTATGTATATACAATACAGAATGTAAATTTGCACTGATTTTCCATAAAGCAATATAAGATAGATAAAAAGAGAAAATTATCAAGTATTTGTAATTATTTGTGTATTGCGTTTGTCATTTAATGAACATTAATGTTTCTTTGAAAACTTAAAATGTTCAAAGATAACAAATATTGCATAAGAAGTAAAGAATTTGAATGAAGCGTGGTGCAAAATATCGTCACCGATATCAACGAGATGTCACGGATCACGCAATGGCGAAAATGTAACAAATGGGACAATTTCATTACAATCCATCCATACCATATCAGTACAATCATTCCTTATTATTATAATAATATGAAAAATTTATAGCTTTCTATAAAAATGGAACAACGTGATAAGTAGGACAAATGTTTTCCGGAAACTATTTGGAAAAATGTAGAATATTTATGGAAGTATGTTTTATATACATACGAAAACGTGACATGAAAGTTAAGATAAATAGGTTTAAAAATAACCAACAATGTATACCGTTTGTTTGAAATATTTCTTAAAATATAAGATATATTGCTATTAAAATAAGATAACAGTTGAAATTCGTAACTGATTACACAAATAATAAATTGGAATATTGCCCGCGTTCTTCTATAATGAACAGTAAGTAATTCATTCGGCTGAGATTACTCTTTCCAGGCATAAAACTCTTTCCGCATAATTAGGAGATAAGTAACATGTTCCAAAGTCCCTTTACTCATCATTACCTTTATACAACTATAATTTATTGAACAAACAAAATATTGTAAATCGATTTAACAGTATACAACATGCTAATCTATCTATAAAAATCTTAAAAGTTCGTATGTACTAATTTACGTTAAATCTTTAGTTAACCTGAGAAATTTGGAAAAAAGAAAATTATTTTATAATAATACTTTCTCTATCATTATACATCTCGCCTTCCAAATCAATTATACATGCTTACAATTTTGCCCTTTAACCTTCGAAAGCAACGAAGTGATGTAAATGTTCCCTTGTAGGTAACTTACTCGTACGTATACGTGCACGTATACATAGAGTACTAATATACAGGACGTTTCATAAAATGTGATAAATTTTGGAAATAAAAGATCCTTTAAAAATAAACCTAATCCTTGATGTTTTCATGTGGCTGTTATTATTACAAAATGTTTTGAATTATTATCGCTTTACCATTACGTGAGCATTTACGTCTCTATCGGCTATTTCCTTTATCCCTAAGATTTAGTCTTATAAAACTTTCGAGTTCTTCAAACCATCTCTCTTCCTTCCCTTTTTTCAAAAATATATGCGTACTTTTAAACCTTATTTCTATATCATGAATCTCTTATTTCCTGAATATAACACACATTAAAAAACACCTTGTACATATACATGGTAGATATACATACATATGTAATGTAAAGAATCTTATACCTCTTATAACAGATCGTTAACTTAAATCTACAAAAGAACTCAATAAAACCTGCACTTAGTACGACATCTTAAATCAAATATTTCATTGAAAAATTTCTATAAAAAAGATAACTGCTTCTCAAGCATAAACGATTGTAACATTTACATAAATTTTTACAGTTTAAAAATAGTAAATAACATTATGCAATGAATTTCATATGGAGTCCTTTTGCAATCAATAGTACGATATCTTTATCGCAGTAATGTAAATCTAGATAACAAAAAATATATATTTTACAGTACCATTGGTTTACTATGGTTTTTAAATAAACTGTTATCTTCATATAGATTACATGGTAATCTTTACCACAAGAATTATCAATCTGGATCACTGTTCCCGTAAAACCGATAAACATTTTTTGAGCAATTCCGAGTGTGCCTATAAATAAAAAAGAAATTTCATAAAGCACTGTGATGTATACAAATATATTGAAGAAGCGAAAGCGTCCTTACTTTTGCATGTTTTATTTCTAATTCTGTTAATTCGATTAAATTCTTTCTAAAAGCAGCTACCCTCCTCGTTTTGAAATCCGTTAATTCTGTAATTGATATTAGGTTTTACATTTATTTAAATAAACTGTCAAAAATAAAGAAGATATATTTTGTACCTTCTTTTCCTTTCTCTGACATCTGTTCAAACTTTTCGCACGCTTCCGTTTGAGCTTTTTCTGCCTATATTAACAAAAATAATAAAACTTTTAAACATTTGCGATATCTAAAACTGTTAATGGTTAAACTGATATTGAAAATTTCTGTTTTATAATATATATATATAAAATCAAATTATGCATGCAAGTTCTAAAATTTCATTATTGAAGTTTAAAATTGAATTTTTCATATGTACCAATATCTATGCTACCCTATGCCATGTCTTCTATTATAAAAACCTTTTTTTTTTAACGCATTTAGTGATTCTTAAATCAGTCATTATGAAATTTCATCATTGTTAAAGAAAAAGAAAAATACATGCAGGTTCTGCTCATGCATAACATTTAACATACTGACTTGATGTGTAATCATTGATTTCAGTGTTTTCAGTTTCTCCAACATACAGACAGTAATATATATTACATACACACTAAAATCTATTTTCGTAAAATTTATTTTTGTACATTGCAGAATACAACTTTAGCATCACCAATGTTTTCACGATTGTTTAACTTCAATCTTTTAAGGCCCCACTTATTATTGAACACTCCGAATTTAAAAGGTTTTAAAATAATTTAAATTTAATTTTATGTTATTCACACACAATGTTATTATCATGACGGTGTTGAAAGTTATCCTATCATCGTATAAATTTCTAAGCATATATTACTTATAGTTATGGTCTGCAATATATACTATATATACATACATATATATCATGTACACTATTTCAAAGTGTACATAGAAACTGAGAGTTAAAACTGATGTTATTAATAATAGTGTATACTATAACAAGGCGGCAAATGTACAAATAGAGAAAAACACACCTCAGCAACCTCCACTGCCTTGATGAGCAAGAAAAATGAAATTTCTGATTAGATACTATGTATGCTTAAATTGAACATTGTATGTTATGGTACATTATGTATGGTACACGTGTTCTGGTACATTAAAACTATTAAAAACGGTTTCAATTAACAGATTACAAAATATTGCACTTTCGTATCAGATAAGAAATTAATGGTATAATAACAGGGGCCAATTTCAAAGAAAATTATATTTTCCTTTCTATATAGTTTTTACTCTAAATAAACTCATGAAAAATAATATACTCACAGCATGGACATCTTTATTTTTGGCACGAGCTTTTTCAAGAGCACGATTTGCAGATTCATATGCATGTAAAGCTTTCAATCTTCTAAAAAGCAACCGTTTGGCTGCAGCCGTATCCCTCATGTAGTACCGAAGAGTGTCTGACAATTTTAAGTCCTCATCAGATGCTACTCTGCCCTCAACTTTCTATTACATTACAACATTAAAGATATAACTAGTATGAATGAGTGAAATTAGAAAAATTAAGATCAAAACATCTTACTCTTAGCTTCTCAAATGTCTCCGCAATTTTTGTTAGAAATCTCTCCAGTTTACCATTATCGGTTGTAGCTAATTGTAAAAGATTTGTAGATATCTTTATATAAGAATCTGCCATATCTTTGTGTTTTGATGTTTGGCGGTCTGCACGAGTTGTTGCTTCTTTTAAATTCTGGTGGTAAGTTTGTAAAAATGTCATTTCCTGATCAAAAAAGTCATTTACATCTTTTACAGTCGCTGATAAATAATATTCATCCGTTGTAGTCGAGAAAGATTTTACTAAACCCCCAAACATTTCCATTTTGTTCTTTCCTAAAATAAAATTGATAATGTATATTTTCTTTTTACCTCGAACGATACTCGTATCATTATGTCATTATAAAATGAAACATAAATTTTATTCAAGCACCAAAATCTTTACCTCTCACACAAAGATCTTGATCATATTCTAAAAACACTCTTAAATTATGATCGTTTCGAAAAACTGGGTGATTTGCTAGTCTAGTTAAAAACATTTCGTGCATGGCAACAGTTTTCTTAAATGTAGCTAAATACTCGCTGTAATAAAAGTATAACATTATAAAATGAAAGTTATTAATCAAGCTAGGCTTACGTTAAAATCTCAAGTACATTTTAATTAATACTTACGCTTCTAGTTCCTGCTTCATTTTGTTAAATTCTTCCCGAGTCATATTACCCTCACCTTCTCCGAGCTTTTGTAACTTTTCTCGAGATGCATCAAAATCTGGTCTCGGCGGACAAGGTGGTATCTAAAAATATATAATTTCTTTGCACATGAGTTATCACAATTTTGGTACACTTGAGATTTGTAGCTTGCGAGAAATAAAAGACATACGATATAGCCAGCATAATCTTCGTTCTCTTCAAATCGATCGTGTAACCATACAAACTCTTCGTGTTGCCTTACAACTAAATTATCTCGTTTTTGAAAGTACGGCAAAGTAGTCTCTGTGTGCACAGTAAACTTCACTTTATCCTTTTCACTAAGAGCATCCGAAATGTCTACCTGGAGTGATTTATCGGAGAGGTCGACATTGTCTGCATGAATTGTCTGTAAATGCAAATATTAAGAATTAGAAACAGAAGATTGTAAAGTACAAATATCAGATATGTGAAAATCAAAATTCAAGTAATCATTAACAAAATAAAACGATAGAAGAGATAGCAAGAAAGAAACCAATGTGAGTACCTTTTTAGGGGGAACGTTACTTAAAATATCGGCAGTATCACATATGCCGTCCTGAAACATTTTGCTCAATTAAAGAAACGTGAACAGAATATTTGTAATAGCGTTAAAAATTCAACTAGAACGTATTAAATTCGTTATGAAGTTCAATCGGCGGACTAGTGATAACAGGTTCCACCTACCATCATGGCGTCCAAGCGTCTTTTTGACACGTTTTGCGTTTCACGATATGGGACTGTCAGAATGAATCCGATAATGATCTCGACTATACTCCCGCAGTCAGCTTCCCTCGGCGCGGAGATAATTCCTCTTGTGCTTATGAACTTGTAGAGACAATCACCAGAGGAAAACTTTCCGCTGGTAAAACACACTTAACCGAATCATAACATGTCAGAATACAGTATATTCGGGAGACATATGCTGATAAATCAGCTGTAATAATAAGACAGTCGTACGTCAAGTCATAAATGCTGATAAACTGTTAATGTACCGATTTCTGTTTAACGTACATACATCGGTATCGATAGAAACAAAGCGAGATAAAATTTTGGTAGATTTAAGAATACTCCCTTGACACACGTGTCAAGCACATAAATATCTACATACCGACTTATCGTTAGATGTCTGTTAGGAGGTACGAATACAATTTGTCCATTTCCAATAAGTCGAATTCTAACGAATATAAATATTAATGAGCTGATAACACTAAAGCAGAGTCATGAAATATTTTTCCGATGATAATCTGTACATTTTTAAATAGATCCAGAACCGTATCAAGGACAATATTAATCAATCTTTTCAATGCACATGCATGCATAATTGATAGTAATGAAAACGATGACACGATGATATTTTAATTAACTAGGAACAGAAACTATAAAACACAATCAATATTTTCATTATCTTTTAATTTTGTATCTTCAAGTGTTGGTATGTTTCAGAATTGTGAATGAACATCTCTACCTGCCCAAAGCACTAAAGTTACATTACATGTGTAGTTTTTGCTCGCTGACAGAAAGTTTTCTTCTGCTCTATGTAACCTATAAGAACGACCCTCGGATTTGTGATTACGTGTATATTAATTTCAATCAATATTTTCCTATAACGTTGTTTACTTTTTTGTGATTCTTTATATGTAAGTTTAATATATCTACAATGTTCCGTGTTGTAAATTTCGATGAAACAGTGAAGTATAACCGAATTCAATATATTTGAAGAAATATTAAATGCACGGAGTAGAACATTACTGAATGAAATCTTTACGAGATATTTGTTTGAATGACTTTTAACCCGTGTTTATATTATTATTTTTTACATATTTTCTAGTATTTGTTCTTTTATGTGTTTATATCTCGACATATAGTGGAGTTACAGGATAATTATAAATTGCTCATTGGAGTATGGTTATGGGTTTTAAATAGTATCTTTTTATTTATAACTTCAAAAATTAATAATTACTCAATAAAATAATGATACAGTGCATCTTCTAAAATGGTGGTAACGAACACACCTGTATTTTTGTTTTATTGGAGGTTTTAAAAGTATGTTACTCGAATATATGATAGTAATTCACTTTTTTTCAAGATTCAACAATGGCAGGTCAATATGACAAAATATCATGGAAAGGTAAGCTTAATTGTTAACTGTTCACTATTATAAATTTTATGTAACGAGTATTTATAATTCTATTTGAAAAAATGGTACTCTAATTCTTTTCTGAAATTATAATACATATAGAAGTGCGAGACTTGTTTAGAACTTGGAGGGAAGATGGTGAACGACGAAGTAAAGATGTTGTGGATCTATGGGAAAATAAATTGATGGCAAAAATTGATCAGCTAGGCAATGAAAGTATGACAAAATCCTTTCTTATAAAAATACCAAAACAATAGTTTTAATTATATAATAATTTTCATATAGCTGATTAACTACGTAATAATTATTACAAATTTTCATACAGAGTACCTGGTTCTGGAACAAGTTTGTATAGCAGCGTTGGATTGTTGTAATTTTTCATTAGCCGAATGTTGCATTAAGATGTTGAAGAGGCAGTTTCCTCATAGCTTAAGGGTTCATAAATATCATGCTATGCATTTCGAAGCACTGGAAATGTAAAACTCATTCAAACTGTTGACTATTGAAGTCTTTTAATCTTAATTCATCATTAAACGAGAATAAAATGTGTTTATAGGTATGATGAAGCGTTGGAAGTGCTGGAATCCATTATAAAAAAAGATGAAACTAATGCTGCACCAAGAAAAAGACGTATAGCTATATTAAAAGCAAGAGGTAGAGTGCCAGAGGCCATTAAGGAACTTACTGAATATTTGAAGAAGTTAGCATGTTTTAATTTTAATGTTAAATATAGTATAACATAAGATAATGTATTAATTATGAATATTTTATCATTTATAGATTCATGAGCGATCAAGAAGCATGGCACGAGCTATGCGATTTGTATTTACAAGAACAAGAATATTCTAAAGCTGCGTTTTGTATGGAAGAACTTATACTGCATAATCCACACAGTCATCTAATTTACCAAAGATATGCGGAAATAAAATATTCTCAGGTAATAGAAGTTCTAATTAATTTTTTATCTGCATTTTATAAAATTTATTTGTAATAGTTTATGTATCTTCAAGGGTGGATTTGATAACATGGAATTAGCTAAAGCCTATTTTTGCCAAGCTGCCAAACTAAATCCAAATAATATTCGAGCTCTTTATGGTCTACTACTGGTAAGAAGAAAATGACTGAAATTTTGGTATATAATTTAATTGTTTGTTATTAATTATTTACAATATATTTCCAGGCAACAAATAATATTGCTACTTCGCCTAAATGCCCTTCTTCAAAGAAGAAAGATGCTATAAAATTAAGTGAGTGGGCAGCTAATCAAATTGAGAAGCAATATCAATCAAAAGTTTCAGATGATCAAATTAAAACAGTGGAAGGATTACTAGGACAATTGCAACTTGACGTTTAGATATGCAAATTTATATGTATGTATATGTTTAAATATTGTAACATATGTAAATGTACCATTCATTCCTCACAATTTATATACGAATGCAATTTATTGTGATTAATTGACAAATGTCTACATAATCATCCCGTGACTGATGGAGCAAACTAAAACAAATGTATTGAAACGTTTGCTATGCAAAACATAGTATAACTATATCAGTTAAATAATTGATAAAAACCAGTTGGAAATATACTATTGTAGGAAGCAGTATTAGATAATAAGACAGAAAACTTTATAACTTTGTAACAGCTATAATTTAATAGAATCATTAATGATCAGCTCAAGATACCAAGACTTCTATTATTTTTTATTCAGATTCATCTCGTCGTTATCGAATCTGTTACACATTCCTGCACGTCTTGTATGATTCTCTACATTGCATACATCAACGTAAAAGGCAACAATTCAAATAAGTTATACTCTCAAATACTGAATTTGAAGAAAACAATAAACGTTTATTACACATAAAATTACAAAGTCATCTGTTTGAATTTTCTTTATTATTCTGTTCCCACAATTCTCTTTTTTTGACCTTTTCTGTAGCCTTCTTTAATCGTTTCTCTTTCCTGCTCTCATTTCGTAACGCAAAATACTTTTCTCGAAAATCAACTAAATTCGTACAAATTATTTCATCAGATTCCTGGAAAAAGAGATCAAAAAATTACTTCCACAGTCACACGCTAAAGTTAATTTGTCATACCTTGGGATCTTTTATTTTTTCGTAAGTTAATAATCTTCGACTGGTATAATTGCTAAGTACTTGTTCGGAATTGGCTATTAATTCTAAACATGGATGATACGGTAAGTGATTCTCTGAATAATGGTCTCTGAAAAATATAACATTGTTTTAAATGATGCTAGATTAGTTTTACTTGTAAAGAAAGGAAATTGAGATACGCCAGATGTATTTCAATAGTATTACTATGCCTTACCTAAATAAAGGAAACCAACATACTAGTCTGCCTTTTATTCTAAGATGTTTGGCAGAGAAACTTAACAGATCTTTATAGATCTGAGGTAGACCATAATCAATTTTTGAAGGAATATGAGAAGATGCTTGGTGCTCTTCTATTACTGGATTTAATTTTGTTGTACCTATCTTTTCTGTTGCTTCTCTTATACCATAAGGTGCTACAAAAAATTATAAAATAATTATTAGGAATGTTGTGAGAAATGTGATTTAATAATAACAATTATACTAACGGTCAGTAATTATAGCATCTACAGTCATATCAGAACGCCATAAAGGAACAGAAAAATCCGATACAACAACATCTACGTAATATGAACTGATTCCATACTGTTCCATATTTGCTGCGATACTCTCATCTTTTTCTCGAATCTAAGAATAGCCTCAGTAAATATAATTTGATAATATAAAAAATAGGTAAATTGAGTACCTTTTGCATTTTGCGACTAGGTCTTGTTCGACCGTGCAGCATTAAAAAATCTATGTCTGTCCCCAATGTATATCCTCCAAAATGAGAAGCTGCAACTAATAAAGAACCAGTTCCAACAAATGGATCGAGAACAATATCCCCTTTCTGAACTTGAGCTTGATTTGCCATTATTAATGACAATTGGGGATCCATAGATGTATTGCCTATAAATTTTCTAGTTTTCAAAGATAATTTCTGAATCAAGTCTCTTTGCCCACTCGTAATCTAGAAAGGCATAGCTTACAAACAATATAAACTAATACAATAATAAAATATAGAATTACTTACCCATCGACCAAAAAATAAGTCATAAGGTTTGTCAGGAATGTTATTAGGGTCTAGACCATAAAATTCTATATAACATAAAGTTGTGTCTGGATCTTTTAATTTCACTGGTCCTTCAAGTGGTAAATAACTGAAAGACTTTAATATAATATTAAACCTTCTACTACACTCGTAGTAGTCTATTTAATATAATTTTATTCACATACTTCAATTTTGTTCACTTTCTCCCTTTGTGAAAAGTGTTTACAAAATGTTTCAACTATTACTTTAAATGATTTTTGAGGCCCAACGTAATTTTTAATTTCTGAAATAGGATACTTCTTCAATTTATTATGTAGATCCTCGTTATGTTTACTATTGGCCCACAATTCTATACAGGATCGCATACAGACTGATCTGCTCGCAATTTTATACGCGATATCTTCCGAAGGTAAATTAACAATCCAATAAGGCTACAACGAGAATAACTTGTGATACAACAAATGCTTTATACGCGTATCGTGAATCAAATATATTCAATTTTAAACTAAATAATGTGAAAAATAGAGCAACAATTTTAATTTCTTACATGTTCGCTCCAATTAGGATGACTGCGGGTACTTATGTTAAACATATTAAGAATAGATTCTATTTCCTAAATATAAAAGAAAAAAAAACAGATAATATAAAATTGTAATAAATAAAAATAAAATAAAATAATGACTTACCGCTGCTCGAAAATCAACATGTTCATGAGCAAACCAAAATAGATATCTTTTCCATTGATTATTCATTGTCACTATTTTTTCTTTGCAAGTACAAAATCGTCAAAATAATATTGCATATATGAATTATACATCAATAATAATATACAAATTATATATTAATACTAAACAGATGTATTATCAAAACTAGCATCTTTTATTTACATTCATTAAAATTAATTTTCGGAATGCAAGTCATTTCGATTAAATGCAATTCTATGCTGGTTCTCTATTTGTATAAACCATTTCTTCGATCATTAATGTAAGTTTTTTTTTGTACTACTTGAATTGCAATGTAAACTATCATGTGTGCATGTGTACATGAATAGGTTATGATGCACCATAGAATACGATTGTATAAGATATCACACTCAAGTACTTTTTGAACAATACGAGAAGAGAAAATCTTGGAGTTTTTCATCATCTTTGATATTCGTGTTCTTAAAATTTTTGACCTACATACGAACAGTGTTACCGCTTTTTTGAAATCGGTTTCTGCAACATTTCAATTTTTAATATTTTTGATTAAAATATTTTGACTTGATTATTATATTAATAAATAAATTATTCTTTTTGAATAATTATGTTTACTCTCTGAGGGTCCATTATAAACTACTTTACAAATTGAATTCGTTGATAGGAAACAATTAATACTTACAAAGCAGCCCAAAATTCATTAATACAATTTACTAATTAATCACCATCAATGCTGTCGATAGAATGGAAAACTAATAATATCGATAAGATAAAAATGTACATTATCTACGTCTGCTACGAGGTTAGCGTAGAAGCGCCATCTACGGGAGAAAGCGAATTATCCTCTACAGATCATTTTGTCGAACAGTTTGAGCATTTTTCCACTACGTCTGCTGGCGTCTGCTACGTCATCTAGCGGACGAAATTGAAACGAAACTGTCGAACAGTTTAAGCGTTTTGTCACTACGTGCAATGGCGCTGTTTTTATATTTTCAGAAGCAAATGATTCGTGCCGTTTTTAACACAGTCTCTTATGGAGAAAATGGTATGAATCATCTGCAAATAATTAATAATGCAATTTAATTTATGTTTGTAACACATATCAATGGAGAAAAATCCGCTGAACATCTTTCTATCCTTAACATGTTCTTTTTAACTCCTACATTTTCAGATTTCATGCCATTTTCTGCACATACATCTTCCTTAGAGTAAGAGTAATTTATAGAGCTTTAAAAAATATTGAACTGAAAAGGGAAAGGCGTGAATAATTACACTGATTTAAAAAATTCGATGGTATCATGACACGATTTTATATTATCAACATTAAATAAGTTATTTAAAATAACTATTCCCACTTCGATTTCGGATCATAATCTCGAAGATAATCCAATACAGCCTCCCTCCGTTTACATAATATTCGGCGGCATGCCCATAATATTGGCAATATCACTGGCGCAATTAAGAGCATAATAGTTCCATAGTAATCGACCAATGAAATATCGTGGCCGTGGTAACGCATGTGCCCCCATTTCGGAAATTTGATCACGTGCTCGATGCCCCAAACAGCTCTGTCCATCGGTTTCACTAATTCGTCCTTCACGATCTCCGACATAGTTCTAATGTTCTCGTAATACCTGCAATCATCCTTCGTCGCACTATCCTTAACATTCAGATTAAAGCGGAGGATGAAAGTCCGGGGGGTTTAGAAATTCATTCTCGGAGAGCCAGTTTCGCCGCGTTCCTGTCGAGCTTGGAGAAGTTTCGAAAGAAACGCGAGCTCGGTCGAATCGGAAGGAGCTTTTTCGCATGCAACAAAAATGAACCCGAGATGGAATATCGTAGCAGATTTAAATAACGTTGCGAGAGACCGACAGTGCGAGCGTTCCCGAAATGTTCGACGGTCGAGTCAACCGATCCATATTCGATCGATCCGCGCGGATACGTCGGACGCGACGGTTTATACTCACGTTTTATTTTCTATAACGTCGGCGAGGGTCCGCGCGATCGACTCCTCGGTGATCGTATCGATGTCCAATGTAAGTCCGATACCGGCGTCCAGGATTTTACGTGCGTTGAAAAGTTGATCCCCGAAAAAGGGAATGGCGACTACCGGCACAGAATAGTGCACCGCCTCCTGTAACGACTGCAATCCGCCCTGCATCACGTAGGCCATCACTTTCGGATGTGCTGCATAATAAAAGCGATGTTAGAATCGCGGATTCGGCCGGCAGCGATCGCCGAGCCGACTTTTATTGATTATCCTCTTCAGCTCGAGGATTGCAGTTCTTAAAACTAGCCGGTTTAACGTTTCTCTTTAAAACCGTCGATAATTTATGAACGTAACGACGCGCGGTAGACCGGTCGGATGTTAAACATCCGATACGACTCCATCGGCCCTGGTAGGCTTTAGTAGGAAGAAGTTTCGCCACTTGCGATTTCATTTTGTTGCGGACATTCCGCGTTTATGGACCAGTAAATTGTTTCTTCGGCGAACGATACGGATCGACGTAGCCGCGGTAAATGGGAAGCACGGAAGCCAACCGGTGCAGGTCTTCTCGAAAAGTAGGAATTTTGTACGTTTTTTGTTTTAAAGTTGACGAAATTGTGAAGACCGTTTCGTAGAAAATGCGATCGAATTTATATTCGTAATGAATATTAAACGTATATTTAATATTATTATAGTATATAATATATAACTATAATATTATATATAATATAATATATATAATTAATATGCATATATAATATTATAATAATATTAAATATATTAATTATATTATAGTATAATATAATATAATACTCGTAATTACTACTAATAAGTATTACTAGATATTATATTACTATATATTATACTATAATGATATTATATATATTATATTATATATACTATAATAATGTTATATAAGTATATAATATTATAATATTATATATGTATAATATTATTATTATACATAATATATTATTATATATAATATAATATCTTAATATCTTAATATATTATATATAATATTACCTATATAACATTATATATTACAGTACAATATAATATATATAATATCACTATAGTATAATATATAGTAATATATAGTAATATAATATCTAGTAATATATAGTAAAAACGGCGAAAGATCTAAACGAATACAGTATTCTCGTCGTTACACGGCAGGGGTGGTCAAAGCGTCTCCCGTTTAACTATTCCTCTAGCCGCCATCTTGTCTAATATTATCTACGTTCATTTTAAATTTAATCTCATTTTTGGCTCTAAATTACTACTTTTCTTAAACGATCTTTAACGATCACTTAACACACAGATCGCCGCCTATAATTTAAAAAACAGATCGCCTGTAGCGATGAAAAGTTCGGCCCCCCTGTTACACGACAATGCGCGTTAATAAATTTTGGTGCTTGGTAGATTTAATATCAAATGTTTTCGACGACAAAAGAATTGGTGGAGGTGCAAGCAAAAATGACAATTACACCGATCGGCGTCCGTGCTCTGCGAATATTTTGTCAGACATTTCCGGCGCGGTTCGGCGGGGCCGCGCGAGATAATTTTTAACGGTGCGACGATCGTAATTGCTCGTTTTACGGGCGACGAGGGGTGCGCGTCATACGTTGTCGACGAGATCAGGGTTCCGGCGGGGTGCTTCCGCCGGCAAGAAACTTCTCAGCCGTAATCCTGGCGGCACGTCGACTTCCGGAAACTACGAAAACCCCGCGTAATAGGCAATTGAATTGAAATTCTCATTATTTGCATCGCGGCCGCGCCTCTCCGCCTTTAATACGTTTTCCAGCGGGCGCGGGGGACGGCGGCGAAAGGGAAGGCGAGCGGTAACCTGTCTGTCAATGTGTACGAAAGTTCGCGCCTGCTTGCATTTGCATCGAGACCGGGCGTTACCGCGAACGATGCGGAGTTGTTTGTCAGAATTTCCCGGGAGAATTTCGCCGCGGCGGCGTGTCATGAGTTATCTTTTCGTTTCGGTATGAATCGCCCCGGATCGCACGGTACCCCCCACCCCCTGCCCCCCGCACGGCCCGTCCGCCACCATCCGTGTCGCCGTCGCCCTTTGGATCATCGAGATGTAGTCGTTTATTTTTTTTTCCTCTCCTTTTTTTTTATTTCGGCCCTTTCTCAACCGCACCTCTGGGTCCCGCGGAAAACATTGCCGTTCGAATATCCGCTATAACGAGACAACGCCGCGCTCCAGAGATCGTTTTCCACCATATCGAGGCTCCTTTCTCGAAACAATCGAACGGCTGGGACTCGGATACCAAACGCCCCGTTCGTTTCGATCGGAAATCGTCGATGTTACGCATGAAATTAAACACCATCAAATAAAAATTAATCACGTGGACACCTAATCACCTGCACTATACATATAATATAATATAATCTATGTAAGATCTATTAAAGATTTATTAAACACGGATGTTATTCGCTTCTTTGGTATCGATAACAAAATATTATAATATTATATTATTACATTATTATATATATATACAGGGTTTCCCCCAAAAATGTCTCGCAATATGGAAATGGCGAGTTCCTCGGATCATTTGAAGCAACTTCTTTCTTTACAAAAATGTTCTCCGAGGCACCGTTAACGAGTTATTAACGAAAAACAGTGACCAATGAGAGGCGAGCTCAGCTGGCGCGAGGCGACCGAGCCAGTCAGCGGAACTGGGATTCGACCGCTCGACCGCTGGCGCCGTTGACTCGGCCGCCTCGCGTCATCCGAGCTCGCTTCTCATTATATATATTATATATAATATAATATAATAATATATATTATATATAATATAATATAATAATATATAATATATATTATTATATTATAATAATATAATAAACGCGGCACCGGTTGAAAATGTGCAAAAGCGGTGAGTATGCGCCTTTCAAGTACAAGACTATCCGCGCGAGAACTAAGTCTGAACTAAGTTCTTCGATTCTCTAGTACGTTAGCTTTAACCCCTACCGCTGGACGCAGGAATAATTTAATACGGAGTAGCGCTGCTTTTGCGACATTGACTTTCATCGTGATTCATACGACGCGGTGGTTAATATTAAAAGATTCTATGTACGCGCCGATTATAAGCGTTTACTAGGTTTAACACCGGCTAAAGGGAAGTAGCCGTTGGTATATTAAGACGTCTAAAAATACTGCTGACAAATCGTACAGGCGGTATTAATAATATACTTGAAACATAAAAAATGCTCGAACACGAACACGACGTTGTATCCGCGTACTGACAGCACGAAAAATTGCAAGGCAAGTCCTGGCGGTATCGACTATCGAGTTTAAGGACCATCTAACCTTCCTAGACGTGTGTGCAGCTTGACAGCACTCGAAGCTGTGCGAGGGAAGTGAGGTTAAGTATCGACAGAGCAGACGACAATTTTGCGGAAATTCTACGAAGTGACAGCAGAATTTCGCGAAAATCTTCGAGATAAACTGGTCGGAGGAGCGAGCAAAGCGTGCGCGATCATCAGCTGGATACAGATGAACTGGTTATTGTTTCTTTCCGATAGTGGTTCGCGAGGAACGAAGAAGAGCGTGCGCCAGTACGCGGAAATCTTGACTGGAAGATAGCTCGTGGAACGAAGAAGTCGTGTAATTTCGGTCAATTAAGCTATCCGGCGGCTTGTAATTGGCCACAATTCGTGGTAAAAATAAACAGAGCGAGTTGACAGTAGTGCTGGCAGGGTGGCACAAACGTGCGTAGGAGATCATCTCGACCCCGAGCGGATACACAGTCGTTTCCGATCAGAAAACACGTATTTCCCGCCAAAGGCCGGTAGATGATTGGGTACACACGGCTCGCGCGGCTCGGGAATTATGTAACTATTGTTGCACGACTAGTAAATAAAAGCTACTTACCGCTGATCGAGGCGAAAAACGTCAGGANGCGAGTTCCTCGGATCATTTGAAGCAACTTGTTCCTTTACAAAAATGTTCTCCGAGGCACCGTTAACGAGTTATTAACGAAAAACAGTGACCAATGAGAGGCGAGCTCAGCTGGCGCGAGGCGACCGAGCCAGTCAGCGGAACTGGGATTCGACCGCTCGACCGCTGGCGCCGTTGACTCGGCCGCCTCGCGTCATCCGAGCTCGCTTCTCATTATATATATTATATATAATATAATATAATAATATATATTATATATAATATAATATAATAATATATAATATATATTATTATATTATAATAATGAGC